GTTTAAGTTTTTTACAGCTCTTCGCATTTGCTCCAAGCCATTTTTTTATGTCCTGTTAAATATATATAGACTGCGGAATTCCTGCAAGTAACTGCTCCCTGAAAGCCTTGCCCAGTCCATATCGTCCAGATGTGTAGGTCTGGCAAGCTGAATGAGGCTGGGAGAAGATTTTTTTCTTTCCTAAAGCCTGTTCTTTGTTTCATGCTTGAATGCTCAGTTTAGCGTGAGGGCAGCAGTCCTCCTAAGGTATCTACATGGAAGGCATTAGAATAAAGAGATTTAACACAAGCTTTCTGGAAATGCAATCAGCAGTGCCAAAAAATGAGAATGAATGACTGGTGAGAACGCATGCCTGTAGATGTGTAGATGGCAGAGGAGGCTCTACGATAGGTTTCTATTTGGAGGCACTGGAATTTAGCACATGTAGGGGGATCCTCGATAGAAATAAAGTTGCAGCACTGCTTCTCAAAGGAGGCGTAGTTCTACATTCATTTTAAAAAAGATGTAACAGAAAATACTTACTAGCTTCGCTAAATTCTCATGCAAAAGAAGTAAAATATCGTAATCTTTTTGACAGTAAGCTTCATAACCAGAGTAGCAGTTACTAAATGTTAGCCTTCAGGAAAATTATAATCAATTGAATGTTAAGACACACACACAAAAGAGGCAGTAACAGAAAATTATTTTTATCTATGAAATAAATATTATCCTATGGATAGGTTTTGTAACATTAGACTCTTCTGAGAGAAGAAAATGTAGTTCTTGGACTTGTCTTCCATTTTTAGGAACTAGAACTTGACAGGATAGTTACCAGCATTTGTCAGACTGCTTCTCTGTGCAGTGCTTAGTCCTATTTATTAGTTTTGTATTTGGTTAGGTGGTTTGGAGGAAAAAAAGAAAGTGGAAGCAAACATTAAAATACTGTATATCTTCTAATGAGCCATTGTAAGATAAATTCCAGTATGTTATATAAGTATATATAATAAGTTAAAGAAGAATTAAAAGTTCAGACAATTAAAACAACAGAATTACAATAGACTGAGCACCAACTTTCTAAACTCTTCTCATTTGGTAGCACTGTCATGATGATATTATCCTATGATTAGTCATAAAAGAAAGGCCAAATTTATCTAAGCCACCTGAACTGCGTTGTTTGCCACAACTAGGAATTGGGTAATCTTAAAAAAGTACAGCAAAAAACCCACTTTGATACTACATGACCATTAACTTTCGCATGCATCTGCTAATTAATATTATAAGTCCGTAGTCAGCCAGGCAAACGCAAAGGAAATCTAATATAACCTCGTAACATCACTGACAGAAACAATAAGAAGTTTATTCTTTGTAAATCTTTGTATATGTTAGTAATAATGATCCAGTGTCCATCTAGCACATTATTCAACAGCAAGATTGTCTTGCTGTTCTTTAATGAGCTTCCTTTCTACAGCTTCTTAAATGCTAGTGATGTTATGCTGGCCAAAATGTGCCATTTCTGTAAGAAAGAACACACCTAACTGCTCTTCATTTCTATGTAATCTCACAGAACTTTCCATTTTAATTGGGTGTTATGTCCACATTAAATTATTCTAGCAGGATTTCCCATTTTCACACCTCTAATTTATCTGAGGTAAAGATGCTTGAGGAGCATTTCCAAAAGAAGATACAGGGTGGTTGTAGGATCTCGTGCAGTTGCTCAGCTGTGATTTTTCAAATAAAACAAAAACTAAAGGACAGAAATTGTGATCTGATCATGCAAGCCCCTCCACATATGGGATTTCTTTTTTTTACTCAGTAGAAATCCCATGCGTGGCTGACTTGTGGGTTTGGTTCCTGCTTTCTACTGATGGCAGTGCATGTGTTAATGCGCTACAAAGAAATTGCCACATCTAAGCCAGATATTAATAGAAATCATGCAACACACATGTACCATTCACTGGAGAAGTAACTCAAGAATTACTAGTCAGAGCACAGTTACCAGATCCATCTTGCAATTGAAATCAATCCCAATTGGAGTAACTTTCTGTAAGTGTGGGACAGGAGAGCTGATTTGCTGCCAGACTAATATTTTTGTGCACTACAATGAGGAAATGTGACTTGGCCAGACTGCAGTCTTCTCATTTTTGCCAGTTTTATTTTTTTGTTCGTTTGGGGACTGTGTGCTCTGTCCGCTTCTCACCATTTGTTGACTCAGTTCCACAGCTAGCACAAATTAAGCACATGTAGCTTTATTGAAACTGATTTACAGCGACTCATGATTGAAACTGGAACTGGTATGCAGTTCCATGTAATATGAGAATCAGATTTATTCACAGGAAAACATGAACTGAAAGTTAAGTTTAGGAGTAGAGAATGCATATGTTATTAACACTTCGTGAATAAGTGGAGAAAAAGTAGCTCTTAAAGTGGTGATAAATATGGAGTTAAAATTACAGGAAGATTGGCCAAGTGTCAGAAAACCAACAGAGTACAGCAGCGGGTACTTTCAAAAAGGAGGTCGGGTAGATTTCTAAAAGCAATCGTTTGACATGATTGCTTGTGATGACAGAGAACTAGATTTGTTATCTAAGAAGATCCCTTCCAGTCTTGTGTTCTTGCTGAGAGATCTTAACAAAAGCACAGAAGTAGAATAAGTAACTCTCATCTGGACCATCTTTAATGTTTCTTCAATGTACTATTTGGGCTACCACTCCAAATTAGCACAGTACAGAAATCAGTCTTTTATACCATGCCAAACATGTTCAGTGATCCAGCAGGTTAATCTTTCTCCAATTTGCCTGTTATAGTTAAAATAATTAGGAAAATCTGATTAATCTGATGATTGCTTTTTATAATGCAGTAACATTTCTGCCATAAAAGCAAAGATATCAGTCATAAAGTATTGGTAATGAGATCTACCTGCATCCGTTGGGCCTTGCTAGATAAGGATTGCAAGGATAAGTTGTGCTCATTGTAATTCAGAACAGGGTCTTGTCTTTATTAAGAACAAAATAGCGAACATATTTAAGGCATAACTGCCAGCAGTGCAGCATTGGTTAGTAATCTTATCATCACCAGTCTCACAGACATTTTTTACGAGCCAACTATAGCAATCTGATTTTGCAAGAGCCTGAGTCATGTCCACCTTTGCATCTTACTACTTGTTACTACTGCAGTTTTGCACTAGTGCTGACTAATGCTGTAACACAGGGACAGTTTTATTATGAAGTTTCATTTTGAGGGAAAATATTGTCTCTGAACAAATAGTTATTGCCTATTGTTTTATATAAAAAATAAAAAGCACACTTCAATATTCTTGTAATGGAACCTACCAATTCATAACTCCCTTTTCTAAGGTCAGCTGCACAACTAAAATGTAACTTGAAAACAGCAAAATACATCCATAATATTACAGATGTGAAATGAATCGCAATGAAATGGATTGTGGTTTTGAGTACCCTGTTTTTCAGGACATTTCTCTTTGTCATAAAGTTTGTCATATGATTTGATGGGCAGTCCAGACCATTTGGCATCCAATCAATAACCCACTTAGTTAAGATATCTTCATGTTGCAGCACTGTAAGAAAGGGAAAAGAGGAGGGAGGAGAAAAACATACAGGTGCCAAGATACAGAACAAATGCCGGTGGTTAAGATATTAAATCAGTGCTTTGATTCCTCTTTATTATTCTGAGCTTATGTTATCTAATGGATCAGTCATAAAAAAATGGAAGTCCAGCTGGGAAAGACGAAGTTAAGAATAAAAGCAGGGAGTATGCGGGTTTGTTTTCTACCTTTCATTCAGGCCTCCTAAGAGGAGAGATTTTTATGTTTTGAGTCTAGGAATAGTTTCTACCAGATTCAGATTTGAGAAAGGTATGTTTTCTGTCTACTGTGTGTGGACCTTTCCTTCATAGCCAGGTCTGCTAGTCCATTTGTTTTTCAGAGGTTTCCAGCAGCTGATGAAAAATGCAAAGGCATTGCTTATAGGGACAGTTCCATCCTTCTGCCAGCACTTGCACGCTCATTCCTCTGGCGCTGGACCTGCATTAGGACTCATGGCAGTGTGATGAACTAGATCAGTGAGTAGATCCAGTTAAGAATAAGCTGCATTTTGTCAGGTCAGTGCTTCCGTACCTCAGTACCCTAATCCAGTTCATGCAGCTACAGGAACACCAGTTCAGGGATAAAGGAGGTGTTAAAGGTGAGGGACTGGAGGTAAGGTGGAAGAGGAGCACAGCTGTCCCCTAAACCTAAAGAGACTCTGAAGGAATTGGTAGTTTTCTCAGGGTGCAAGCACTTGAATAATGTAGCAGTACATGATATCCTGGTATCATAGTAGTGTTGTGATTCTAACTATCCTAAAAATAAAAATTTGGGGCAGTTATTCACACCTACTTAGTCTTAAGAAGCTTAAAAATTCATGTCCAGTGTACTGAGATGTAAATGCAGAAGGCAGTGGAAGTCCAGCAAGGGAACCTCACATGTAGCAGTATTTCCTTGCAGGAGGATGAAATGGGTGATCATTACTTTTAACTTGGCAGGAACAATACAAGCTTATCTTCTTTAGCATATACATATTAACCACAAATAATATACTCCCATCTTAATTATAGGGATTTAGAGGACATGTTCCAGGCCTAGAAAAAATGGTTTATATACCTGTTTCAAAAAATGTATTTTCATTTCTTATTATATTAATTCTGACTATGAATAAGATCACGGAGCCTGTTATGCCTCTTGTAACAAGCAGTGGGTCTGTCTAGTGAAGATTCTAGTAAAGCCATATAAACATCAGTATCAGATGACACTTTTATGTTGAGTGATCTCTCTGAATTGTACATTGCCTGTCAATAATCTCAAAAAATTGATTATTATTCCTTCAAAGCTAATTGGGGTAGAAAGACTATTGTATTTTAAAACGAAATTAATATGATCAAGAAAGAGCAAGAGAGAGATGTAAGCAACAACGTATATTCCTTGCATCCTAGAACATGGTTTGTTTTAATTTTTTTTACCAGGCTTATCAACATAAGCTAAAGCTAGCCCTTATAGGTCAAAGTGTTTTTGGACAAGAAGTTTATAACAAGCTGAGAAAAGAGGGACATAAAGTTGTGGGAGTATTCACAGTGCCTGACAAGAATGGACAAGCTGATCCTTTGGGTAAGTGTAACCTTAATCCAAATGTTAAAATTACAGGCATACATAACAATCTTGCCTTTTTATGAGAAGGTAGTATCTATATGGGAATGACTTGCATATATTGCCTTCATTATACTGGATTCAGCACAAGAACTATGTTTTAACCAACACAAGTCCCAGAACCGGTTTAACCTTGTCAATTAGTATTTAAAAGTTGTTTCTAACCATACAGGGCTATACATGAAGATATTTGAAAAATAAATTAATCTGGGTACCTTATTTGAATGTACATCCTAGAAGTAATCATCCTAAACTAGATCTGTATCTTAAAGCAAATAGCTGCTGAGCCTGTACTCAAGCACAAATGTCTGTCACCTGTTTCACTGTGCTGTCTGGGACACACAAGGCATGGAGCCAAGACTGTTTATCCCTGGCTTTCTGCCCTTTCTGACAAGCTTGCAGGCAGCAGTGTGCCTGCAGAGCCTATTTCTCTTCCACCTGGACTATGGAAAACCCACTGAAAAAGTTAGAGGAGGCTTTACTTTCCCTTTTTCTATTGTCAAAATGCATAAGGATTTTCTAGACTACCTAAAGAAGGAGTTGTTGCCTGACAGATATTCAGAACTGTACTCATAGAACAAAATCCAGTGTGACAAAGCAGCTTCTTTGGAATCATTGGAATTGTAACTTCTTTTTTTTTTTTTTCAGTGGCACAAAAATAGTGAATTAATATGATTAGCAAATAGAAGTGCCAGCATGGAATGTACCTTTCTGGATAATCTGAACTTAAAACTACATTCCATGTCTCAAGTATTTTTTTTCTTGTCAGGGCCTGACATGTTTTTACAGAACTCTTACGAGGGATGAATCAAACAAATTTTGCTTACCTGGGTTATGTCACTTCCAAACTAGCACATAGTTCTTAAGTTTATTACATTCTGTAACTTTACCTCATTAAAAGATTTAATCACACTTTGGAAGAATTAGAGGAGGCAACTATTAGTTTGGAAAAAGACAATTCAACTATTCAGCTTTGGAAGCATACCATAATGCTTGGTGACATTATATATATTATGATTGTACAGTTATTATACTAGCAGATGTAACTAAGTAAAAATTCCACTGATTTCAATCATATTTTTCACTAAACCATGGAATTAGTTTATTGCTCTCCTAATGAAAAAAAAGATAAATTACTAGATAATTTGTTGCTTTTTACTTCCGATGCAAAGAGCTGAAGTCTAAAGTGAAATTTGCTAATTTTTCTGTATCCTCAGACAGTTACAACTAATTTGTGTTTCTAAAAGCAATTGCAGTACACACCAACTGCCATGAAATGGTATTTAAGTAAGTATTTACTTAAGACCTAAGTTAATAGCCTAAAGAGTCTTTAGGTCAAAGATCCAATTTTAGAACTGAAAAAGAGAAAGAAAAGTATAAAAATATGTTTAGAAATATAAAATAAATTAGGTGAATTTTCCATACTTCTCCCTGCTTTCCCTTTTCTTCCTATTACACATACAACTCAACAGACTTGGAGTTTGTACTGTCCTGCTCTCTGTGATGAGTTATTATGTGGTTGCACAGTAGAATTTATTTAACACCTAAAAATTCTCTCTGCAGTTAGTGCAGTTGTTTTTTCTCACCTCTGAGCCTAATTTTGGGTGTAGCTGTGTGTCTCACAGATAAATGAAAACACATCCAGTAAGCGTCAGTATACAGAATTTTGAAGACGTTACTGAAGGCCATTAGCATCTGTAACTATCTGCACCACATGGCAAAATGATGCTGACATGAGTAGTTGTATATAGTCACATTCATACACAAATTGCTAAAGTGGAAAATTAAGTTCTGCTACACCAAACCAGTAGGTGTAATGACCAGACAAGAAATGAAGTGTCTGTGTTAAATAGTCAATAGCATTCATCATTCTCTTTTGCTTTTAGTGGTACTTATTAGCCAAGTCATAAGAGTAAACTTAAAGTTGAGAATGACATGAGCTGTAGATATGAGAATCAAAGACAAAATTAATAAGATACGGTCAAGCACAAAGGTTTTTAAACAGCATATGGAACAGTACAAAGGGCACTCTGTAATCATATTCTTGATGGTCTGCTTGACTTGTCATGCAATATCTCTGATTTCAGCTTAAATTTTTAACACAGAAAGTGAATTAAAAAGGAATGCTGTTCTTGCCCCTCAGCACTGGCAGCGGAGAAGGATGGCACTCCTGTTTTTAAGTTCCCCAGATGGAGAGCTAAAGGCAAGCCTATCCAGGAAGTAGTTGCAGCCTACAAATCGGTCGGAGCAGAGCTAAATGTGCTTCCATTCTGTACACAGTTCATCCCCATGGATGTTATTGACTGCCCAAAACATGGCTCAATTATTTATCATCCATCCATCCTACCACGCCACCGAGGAGCTTCTGCAATCAACTGGTGAGTTTTGTGCATCAAAACTGTGTGTATGTCACGTTAGGATGTTGGTCTGTATCCGTTACTCATGTAAGTGCTGGCACAATTCTGTTGACTTGCAACTGCTCTGAAGGAACTTCTCTGAAGCAGCTGAGTATTTGGTTCATGAATTGCACTTCATACCTAAGATTCATTATGATTTCCAATGCAAGTGCAGCTGTTATTCTGGGATGACCAGCGATGTGATCTGTACATTCATGTACTTCACTCACATAGGCAAGTCAACAGTTTGCAGTTTTCATAGGCAGGACACTGTTCTCTTAGCTCACTCTCCACAAACACTATATAACTATCACAAGAGGGCTTGATGCAGAGCCCAAGATTTCACAGAAGGAAAGGGAGAAGGGAGAAGAGATTCCATGAGAATAAAACCTTATCTTGCAGTCCTCCTGAGCAATGCACAAGGCTAGATTCAAAATGTTACTGTGAAAGAACTACACTGCAATAATGACCACAGTAGACTCAGATCTAGCATTCTTATGACAACAGAAATGCTATTATCACAATGTTTAAGTTCAATAAGAAATTGTCTAAATATGAAGAAACAATTTAAAAATAATTTTATAAGCAGCATGGTGATTATTTAAAGACACAGTGTTGTAGATTCAAAGCAAAAGTATATTTTGTTTTGTTTTGTTATTTTTAATTCTTATAAGAAAAAATGCTAAGCTGAAGTACTTAGAGTAGTTAAAGAGACTGTTAGAGACATAAGGAAATCCTTCAAAAAGTGGCATTTGTGTCCAAGTGAGTAAAATAAAAAAGAGCATAAACTTTGGCAAACCAGGTGAAAAATGGGAGTAAGGCAGTCCAGAAAAGAAATAAAGAACCAACTTTAAAGGCATAAAATCGAATAATAATAACAGTTTTCTCAAATGCATTAAAGGTGGGAGGTATGTGGGGTGATACACGTGTTTGATTTAAAGGAGGGGCTTATCAAAGAGAACACCATAGTAGAAAATCTGTATTGGTATTCAGGATGGAAGAGCTTAAGATGTTACTGCCATACAGCCCTCCTTTGTGTCGAATGAGTCAGAACAATTCTCTTGAGCTGATCTGTGAGTAGAAGAGATTTTAGATAAACTGATGAATGAATAAGAATCTCTTCTCAGGACCAGGGGACTTTCAAGCAATGGTTCTGCAGGTTTGGGAAAGACAGCCTGCAATGTTTTTGTTCCTTCGATTGCATTGGTGCGGGAGACTGGAAAAAGCAAGAGCAATACCCATTTAAAAAGGACTGAAAGGAAAAGCCAGGAAATATAAGATCAGTCACTCTGATTTCAGTCTGTAATAAAGACTACAATTTCTACACAAATGGGTAAATATGATAATGTGAAAGTGAGATTAAGAGAATGGGACATCAAATTCGAAGTTAAAAACCACAAGGTAATGCACATAATGGGGAAAAATACCCTGGCTATATGTAAGCAGTAACAAAAATTAAGTTAATTTTGTTACTCAGAAAAGAGACCATGGAAGGATCTTAAATACTGTCTGCATCTCAGAACATGAACGAACTAGAAATCCTTCAGAAAAGGCTAAGAAAGATAGTCAAAGGTATAGAACAGCTTCCACATGATGGGAGACAAATCTAGGAGTCTTCAGACTAGAGGAGGGGTCATTGGGAAGGAAATATGCTAGCAGTGTATTAAGCCATGAAAGACACAGGAAGGTAAATAAGGAACGATTGCACGTTCTTCAAGAGTTAGGGCACAGCCAGCAAAGAGATCGGGTTGTAGGATTTGGCTAAATAAAGGAGTTACTTTCACTGCATATAGTCTGTTACTAAAATGTTGAACTGCACATCTAGAGAGCTCTAGAAGGATGCTTTTATGGAGGAAAAGTTCATGAAGACCTAATCCACAGGAAGATGTAAATACAAATGCTCTTTCAGGAAGTTCCTGAGGTGAAGGTTTCCAGAAACAGGAATGTATGCTAATGGTGTATCACCGAGTCTCGCTCCATTTTGCATATTCCTTCTGTAAGCATCTGGTCCTTCCCTTCTCAGGGAAAAGCCCTTGGCCTAAGACCTTTAAACTAAGCTAGAATTTGTCCTTGGCTGAACATTCTCATCTTTCACCCTCACACCCCTTGCTCTCATCACAATTTCTTTCATGTGCTGTGGCTACAGCTCTGGTGCTGATCGGAGTCTTTCACCCCACAGTGTGACCGAGAAAATCTGTGGGAATTAGGCATGGCTGAAGGGGCACCAGGCACAAACAAGGGCCCTGGACCTCTGAGGGTTCCTCACTCCAGCCTTTACAGCCTCTCCCAGCTGCTGCCATTGTCTGTGGGGAGAGCTGGTGGGCAGTGGAGGGAGCACACTGTAGTTATCATCCTGTCACCCATTCAGTGTCAGGGACATTTGCCCATGATATTCTCCTCCAGTGCCACACCGAGGACATCCACTTCTCACCAGGGTGCTTTTTTGGAATTTTTACATAATATAAAACAGAAGAAATGCTGCTTAAATGTGTGAAAAATCTGATAAGAGGCTAGCCAAACCGCTGTAAGCTTTCAATTTTGTTATACCTGACAACTTCCCCAGCTGTCTTTGGAGTTTGTCCCTTGTTCTGCACAAATGTGTGCTTTACTCCTTTTAATAATGTAGTTTTCAGGGCTTACAATTAATAATGAATTTTCATGTGTATAAGCCAGATCTCAGATGACTGTTACAACATGGACTGTCAAGGGAATGCTTACGTAAGAGATACGTCTTACTGAGAATTGTGTTGGTGTTTGCATGCACACAAATGGCTAAAAGCATGCAGGAAAGGTGTATCTCTCCATTTCTGGCCACTCGCTTAAACACACTTCTGTTTGATTTTCCACCATTCTGAGGCACATGCAGCTCCAAAAGAGAACTGAAAAATCTAAGTGACTCAAGTTCCCTTCAGATTCAGAGGCAGATCCTGAGCTGATATAAATCAACATCTAGTAAGCAGTTTTATGTTCATACACAGCAGCTGAGAATCTGGCTGGATACAAATTACCATAAAAACTTTTCCTTAGACAGTTGCATATCTATCATTTTCCACTCCGATTTTAGCTCATTTTCAGCTGTGCAACAACTGTACTTCCCTTGCCAACCTACAAACAAGTTGTGAGGCTTGGCTAATTACAGTAAACAACCATGAATTGTTAAGACCAGATGCTGTCTAGATGCTCCCTTCTTTCAAATTATTTCATAACTTTTGCACATCTTTTGCTCTGTATGTCTTATCACTAATAGTACTTCTAAAATAATTATCACAATGAACTGTGTGATAGACACCTTGGATTCAGTTGCAGCATTCTTTATGTCACTTTTTGGAAACCATACACCAACAGTATCGAAACTGTGGGTTCCTGACTTTGAAATGAACAATGAAACTAGTATTAAAGATGGTTAGGATTTTCTTTTCTATCTACCTGAAGTAAATGAGTGTGTAACAGGTGGGTTGATATCCCTGACTACTTTCATACTGTCTGTATTTATTGTAAGGCTTTTTTTATGTCCAGGACTTTAATTCAAGGAGATAAGAAAGCAGGATTTACTATTTTTTGGGCTGATGATGGTTTGGACACCGGACCAATCCTTCTGCAACGAGAATGTGATGTTGGCCAAAATGATACTGTGGATGATCTGTATAACCGGTTTCTCTTCCCAGAAGGAATAAAGGCTATGGTATGTTTAGCTGTACTAAATATCAACATTTTAAGAGGAAAAGAAAAGCATCTGCTGGAGTTTGAAAGTAAAAGAGATATAGACAAGATGCATGTGTTTGGAAAGACAAAGGCTGTGGTGCTCAGCCAAATCCTAGACTTCAGTGGAGCTGTGCTGCTTCACGACAGTTGAGGAGGTGGCCTCAAAATATTTGTTGCTTGCAGCGGGCAGAGCATATCCTGTTTCTACAGAATACAAGAAGTTGAATTTTTATGGAATGTGGCTCTTTCCACACATTTCTTGTATATTTTTACAAGGTGAAATTTTTAAAGGCTCAGAGAGAACAGAAATTTAGGGGTAACATTGGAAAAAAAAAAAGGGGGGGTGGTTTAAGTTCAGAGCCTTGGTGGATTGGCTTTATATGCTTGTCCTTTTCTGTATTGTTTTAAAATGAAGAAAAGAAAATGCATAAAAAACACTCAGCAGGGATTTTTAGATAATTTTTTTTCTCCATTTAAATGCAGAGAAATAACTGTTAGCAGGGGAAAAAAAAAAAAAAAAAAGTTGAATTCAATCATACAGAGCCACGTTCTGGTCCTGCAGAATTTAGGCAGCTGCTTTATGTCAGGTGACTAGGTACTCCCATCAAATTTCTGAGGCTATATCTTTTGTCAAAGAAGTTTAAGCATATATCTATGTTAATCAGTGCAGCATTAGTTTGCTAGAATTAGTTTGCTAAATCCTAGCTTTTAAGAATAAACCAGTTCCCCTTGTGGCAGAAAGTCTTTTGCTGTCATTCACAAGTGTGACTGAGGAAAAAAGGCAAACCAATTTAACATTAAATCTGTTAATTTTTCACTTAGGTGGAAGCTGTACATCTAATTGCTGATGGTAAGGCCCCTCGTATACCTCAGCCTAAGGAAGGGGCAACATATGAAGGGATCCAGAAAAAGGAAAATGCAGAGGTAGTGTTAAATAACACTGTTTTGTACATATCACTAGAAAAGTTGGCATTAACTCCGATTACAATAGTAGTGATGTGAAGTTAACATGACTTTTAACTCAGTTGTTTCCCCACCTTTTATTCCTGGGATAACTCCAAGGATGTATGTAATGGAGCCCCAGGTTAAGTACCTATTCCCTTTCAATAGTTACATATATTTAGAAACTTGGTGTCCTACTTGAGATCATCTACATACAGCTAGATGGCAGCTGCACCTTCAGAGGTTTCTTAATATGTTACCATACTTTTTAAATACAGCATTGAATGAAGATTGCTCTTTGTTTACCAACAGTCCATACTAAATTCTCTACCAGAAATAGATTTGATGTTAGGAAAAGCAAGTGCTGGCACCAGGAATAAAAAAAAAGAAAAAAAAAAAAAAAAAGAAAAGGTCATGTAAACAAACAACAGATTAAAAATTTATTTAAACACCCATATAAGAATTATTTTTTATAAGCATTAACACTGCATTAGCTGAATCTTCTTTGTGATTGGGAAGGCCACCATAAAATTATAGTGAATGTTGCCTGTAATACCTTCTTTTCCTTTTCTAGACCAGTGCAAAAGTTAAAAAATTATTCCAACGGTTTCAGTGTTTTGTCCATGGTGAATGTAGTCCCTCCCACCTGAAATATTGTAGATGATACTTTTTATTATATTTCAATTTCTGATTTACCTTAGAAAGAAACAGCTTTGCATGAGGACATTCTTATTCATCCATTTAATGTAATATATGAGGAGCTTCCTTGTAGTGAACTAGCTTAATCTCCCTGCTGTGAAAATATTCTCACTGGTTTATAACTTGCTTCTAAATATCCTTTGTGCTTAAACTAAGTAGTATGCTGGGTACCCAAGTTTTGTTATTTAATAGCTGTTCTGATACTTTCTTTAATTTTGTACATATACTCACCATGCAGCAAAGATAAAGGAATACATTTTCACTAGTGTTACATATTAAATATACATAACATTCTTAAAACATTGTTTCTGTTTTCCTCAGAGTTTTCCAGGAATTGCAGTTGAGTAGGGATTCCATTTATTAAACCATTTATAATGGGTTAGTAAATTATTAGAAAGTATTTTAATAAAAGTTTGTAGATTTATTAAAGAACTTAGGATCCAAGCAATAAATACATCATTTTCATCAGAAGATACCCCAGACATACACTTACTTATATTTATATGACATTTATTAGATTTCTTAATCATAATATTAATTATTTATGAATGAATACCTAGTAGCAAGAGTTCTATTTTCATTACATTAGAGTGAGAAGGAGAATCTATGAAGAATATAGACTGTACAGAGCATAGAAGTGCTAAGAGCATCCCATTTGATAGGTCTTTGATGATTAGCCATCTGGAGATCACTGATCTCCTTTTATTAGATCAGACCCTTTCTGTGTCTTAAATCAATGGTTCAAAGAGAAGGAGGGAGGATTTGTAATTCTTATATAGGAAAACATTACTAACTTGATTTATACCTAAACAGAGAATAATTAACCGGCATGTCTTGATTTCCTAGATTTCCTGGGACCAACCTGCAGCAGCTTTGCACAATTGGATTCGAGGGCATGATAAAGTGCCTGGAGCATGGGCAACAATAGATGGCCAGGTATGGTCTGAAAGTCAGAAGAATATTCTTCTTTTCTATAACCTCCTTTTGACCTTTTTTTTAATTATAAAACTAAAGGTGTCTGCATACAGCTGAATACAAATGGGAGTTACTTTGGAATAGCTCTCATTGGATGACTATCTGTTTTGTGTATATCTGGACAGGCACCTAAACAAATGTACAGAACACAGTAGTTAAGATTTTTTTTGTTGTTGTTGTTAGTGATACATCCATTTGATTAAAAGAAAGATAAGAGCAATATCTGGAAAAAAAAAATGGGCATGATACAAAGCAATAAGCAAAGAAAGGTAGAACCAGACTTGTGACAATCATTTTGGGAAGCAGGCATGCATTAGAGTATAATGCGACCCATGCTGTACAGTGGACAACATCACAGTATTAACAGCAAAATGAAACACTGTGAACTACTGAAATAACAAAGACAGTTTTATTTTAAAGAGATTTGGGCCTAGATCATTTGCAGAAATAAATCTATTTCATTTTATCCAAAACCAACTACTTTATTAAAAGTATTATACATTTGATCCACATTGTACTTACGTAAAATATTTTAAAAATCACATTATCTTTCCCGGCTGTGATGTCCAGCTTTTCTTACTTAACCATTAGCCATCTGTTGGTAGGCTGCTCCAAAAGCCTGGTTCTGCCCTAATGTCCAGGAACTGTTGATGATTTGAGAGCCCAGAAAGAACAGAAGAGCCCAGGAGAGAGGCAGTGTTCAGCATTACCACTCTGGGAGCAGAGCTGGACTCCACCAGTCAGAGTCAGGCTTCTGCCAGTCTCTCACTTTGGGTGTGCACTGACAAAAGCTGCGTCCCTTTCTGCACTGGTTCCAGCACGCACATTGTTACAGCTGAGCAGCGTTGCAGGTTTAGGCAGCTTGCAAAGTTTTACATATCCTTGGTTGTAAAGATACATAAATAATGCCGTAACATGTTTTCTATGTGTAGGTACTTGTATTTTATTTCTATTATATCAAATCTTCGAAATGGTATAATTTCATTATAAGAATTTTAGAGCATGTTTAGAATCTGTGCACTTTTAATTCCATTTATTTTTAGGTGGTTACTTTTTATGGGTCATCATTACTTGATGCTTCAGTGCCTGCTGGACAAGAGCTGGCAATAAAAGGTGCTTCAAGACCTGGACTTGTAACCAAGAATGGTCTAGTCATTTTTGGTAATGATGGGAAGATGGTAAGTGCTCACCCTGGCAAACATGATCATGGATGAAATAACTTTAGCAAGAACTGCAAGTGTGGAATTGCGAGGCTATACAAATCTAGCTGCTAATGACAGACAGCTAATATGCTTGGAGTTTATCAGTTCTTTACTGTCCTGTAGAGAAGACGTTCATGTTTTGCTTCTCACTCAAGCCATATTGATTTCTAATGTGGATTAAAATGTACTAATACTGGGAAAGACTCTGAAAGATAGGTAGCAGTGGCTTGTGTTAAATTACCTGCATTACAGCAGCTTTCCTGCAAGCCATTTATTTTACTATTTCAATAACCATATCAATGCCTAAAAACTCTCCAAACAGGATGTTACCTTCCAGATAATTTAAAATCATGTCCTCTCATTGTTCAGGTACTAGTGAGAAATCTTCAGTTTGAGGATGGAAAAATGATCCCTGCATCTAAATACTTCTCTGCTGATGAAACAACTGCCCTGGAACTTACAGAAGAGGAGCAAAAGATGGCAGAAGATATTAGGGTAATTCAGTAAACTGCTTTAGCAGGATATTACTCCAGACAAAAGCATTACATACTTCTCATTATAGGCATATATTTGCAAATTAAATGCAAATTGTTTTTTGATAAAATGTACTCAAAGGGTATGGGGTTGAATCTTTAGTTATTGACATTAATTCAAGTGTAAGTGGGAGTTCATTAGAGTACCTACACGCCACTTTAGAAAGTTTTCTTCCATATAGAAGTAGTAAAAAGACAGTGATTGCAGGGTCAGTTATGGTAAATATATATGAATGATGAAAGTGTGAGTGAGAAAGAACAAATGGACTGTCACCTCACAACAGTGAGGTTTTCAACACTGGCAGACTTGAACAGTTCCGAAATCCTTTCTTTGCTCTGGTGTTACTCACTAGGATGTGCTCAGAGTGGCTCTGTTGGACAAGCTCTGGGGAGTCTTAGAACAACAGTCTGAAAAAGAAAAGCAGCAGTTTTCTCGTTGTACCTGTGTGTGCTGTCTCTCTTCTGCCACAACCACACACAAGGGGTTGGCAGGCAGAGGGAGGCAATGGAGCAGCTGGAGCAGAAGGTTCTCATAGCCAGAGAGGCACTTTGCTGCCCTCTCATGTAATCCAGCCCTCTGTAGAGCATGTCAGGGGTTTAGCTGAGAGCCACATTTGTCATTAAAGTTTTGTGCCGGAGCAAGTGTATCACAGATGTCTTCCTTCTGCTAATTCTGCTACAGGGTCAGTAATCTTTGGCACAGGTCAGGCAGCTTGATGCACTAATATTTTAAACTGCTGCTTCCAGATTACCTTGAACCTTCTTGCCAGCAGCCTAAAAGCCGCCTGGAGCTACTGACTGACTGAGACAATAGCAAAAAGAAATGTAAACTCTTTAGTTCATGACACTACCTGCTAACTGTGAAACCTAATTATAAATAATTGAAATATTACTTTACCAGTTAATTTCACTGTTCATGTTAGCAGAAACCTCCATCTCATGCATGTAGCTTAAATTACTTCTCAGCTCTGCCCAGATGCCAGAAATGCCATCAATCCAGTCACAAAGAGCTCCAGGCTGTCCTCGCCTCTGATGATGATGTGTTCCATAATGCAATGGAAAGTTATTATTTGGAGGATAAAGCTCTTAAAAAAAATGGGCCTGAAAATTATTAGCATTGTACCATTTGGGTTTCTTGACTGAATAGGTGAAATTATTGTGGACAAAATAATAGCTTTGGATAAGGTAATTATGCTGAAGAATTTGTTGGCTAACATCAGGTCTCTAGACAGTTTGAGACCCTCTTAAAATAATTTTCTGTTCTAGAATCCTTTGAAATAATGCGTGTTGTAGGCACAGACACCATAGAAAATATGGTTTGATAAATACTTCTTTTAATTAGAGGATTATTCATTATTACTTCCATTATTTTTATGTATTACTAGGCAATTTGGAAGGGAATTTTGAGCAATGTTGCTGTAATTGAGGATTCCACAGACTTCTTCAAATCTGGAGCATCATCTATGCATGTTGTCAGGTAAAAAAATACTCAAAATAACATAATTTTGAAGCCAAAGTTAATGGAAACAAAGTCGTCATGGTGCTTTTAAATCAGGGTTGATCAAGTAATGTTAAAAAAATAAAACCTTATAATTTTCAATACTCTAAATATTCCCTTTCCAATATTAGAAAATGTGGCATGGTTCTGCTCCCAAAATTGGGAGATATTGATGTAATCCTGCTCTTTCTATTGAAGTAAAATTCCCCTTAACTTCAGCAACATCAGCCGCATGGGGAAGCATCGTGATGCTCACACCCGTCTGTGTGCAGTGACGGGTATCTCAAGACCAAGGGGCTGACTGGGAAGCTGAGCAAAGAACTCCCAGAGAGGAGAAGCCTTTCACAGAAAGAATTGAGCTTATGCTTACAGGTGTGCTGAGTTCATGCTGTGTTGGGTCACCTCAGTTACCTTCTTTTTGCAACTCAGATATCCCAGGCCATAATATAAGACCAGCATTTCAGGTGTTTTTTTTCAACAAACTGATTATTGTCCTTATTACTTAACAGTCTATAGAGCTCTGAACATCCTCCATGTATTGGTTAGAGTAGTCCCATATACTGTTTTGTCAATCAAAATATGCTATTTGTCATGTATTTCCAAAAGTTTACCTGAAAGTATTCCAGAACTGACATATTTTTTTCCATAACACTCCCAGTTAAACCAACAGATTTCAGAAAAATGCAAAACTTCTGTCCCATTGTTGTCATAAAAACACACATGCATATTCACGTGCATCCAAATTGGTGCCCAGTTTTGACTCCTTTCGACCTTCTAATGATTCAGTTATGTGAATAATTCTTCCATTTGTAATTAAACTTATTCTTACTTCAAAATCTTTAGAATGCTAGAAGAGATCAAACAGAAATACAGTGGACTTCAACTACAGAATGAAGATGTGTATATGGCCACTAAGTTTGCAGACTTTATTCAAATGGCTGTCAGAAAATTCAGAGGAGAGGACAAAGAGGAAGAGTTAGTCATTGATTACGTAAGACCTTGTATTTTGGTATTTTGCCTTTATTGCTATTCTTTCTTATTATTTTGGGGGAGGGTAGACAATGCATCTTATTAGACTGCTTGATACATTAGCAAAAGCAAACAACTATTTGGTCATACAAACTCTTCTTTGTGACTTACTTTTTCAGCTTTTATATATTTGCTTTTTAGAATGGAAGTTTATATGTAATGTCACTTCCACTTTACTATAAACCAGGACATCAAGAAAATGTGGTCGAGTAGATCACTCATGGATTCCTACCCTTCTTGCACTCTCCTGCCAGTATACTTCAGTCAGAATGGTTCTAGAGCTTCTGCTTTCCTGAGGCAAACAGTGCTAGATTTCTTTCCTAAGAGTCTGTTTGAAAACTTTGTGTGAAAGAAGGACTGCATGTTTTTCAAGTCATTAAGCAAGTCAGGATTTCCTGAATTTGGGAATTATGCATTTGATTGAAGTCCACTAGGACCAGCCTTAACCAGGGTTTAGTATTGGTTTAACATAGAGATCCAATAATAAAAAATACAGCAATCTGCTTAACTATCTCAGAGTATGGTCACTGGTGTTCAGGGAGAATATGATTTCCATTTAATTTTACTCTCTTGTCCACTTCTAACAGCCATATAAACACTGTAGAATTTGGCTGGATGTTGGCTGTGGTTGTCAAAAGCTTCTTAAGTTACATTAAAATCTTAGTTATTAAAATGTAAATTAATTTGTTTATTTTGCTCTTAGGTTTCAAAAAATGTGAACAACATGACTGTGAATATGCCATACCAGTGTTTCATAAATGGACACTTTATAAACGCTGATGATGGAAAAACATATGACACTATAAATCCAGCAGATGGATCAGTGAGTAATTCTAAATGTGATCAATACCAGTTTATTTCTATTTCTTTGCCTATTAAAAAATCTAAACCACTAACTGAATATTGCCAATTTCAAAACCATACAGTATACATTAAACAATCCCTAGAAATAATTTGAAATTTTAATTTGCTTCTCAGTCTCTATATTTTACAGGTTTTGCATTTCAGTCAAGCTGCACAGTATAAATATCCTAATTCAACTTCCACTAGATGCCAATTTCCATACCTAGCCATATGCTTTACCTTGATTTCATTCTTGTTTAGCTTTGCAAACAAGAATTGCTATAGTTTAATAGCTAAAGAATTATCTATTTTAGGATATTGTATATATTTTGTGGCAGTCATCAACATCAGTTTTTACTTTACTTTTTTTACAAATTTGATGTCTTAGTACAGGTGTAACTCTAAAATGTCCCTTTAAACTCCCAGTGAGAAAAATGGCCCTTCAACAGCAAACTATATGCAGTTGCACTTTGGTTCTGAACTACTGAATCTTGGTTGAGCAACTCATAACGATGAATTATAAATAATTGTAGTGATTCTGATGTCCATCAGTTTTGGAGTAAATAAATTCTGCTGAAATCAATACCACAAATTTCACGGTTATCAGAAGTGAGACTGGTACTTTTCTGGAAACTCATTATGGAATTGCAAAAAAGTCATAACAATTTTTTGTGTATTTCTAGAACACAATCATCATAAAATACTACGTGTATATGGTGCCTTACGGTAACAGAAGCTCCATTTCTAAGAAATGGAACATGCAGGAGACATTTCAACATGTTTGTATTTAGATCATAATGTCACATTCAAAGACTTCCAATGTTTGTAATGTCGCATTGATTTTACATCTGGAAAGAGAGAGTGAAATCAAGTAGGACAATGCACCTTGATGTGAAGAAGATAGATCTAGGAATCAGAGTCCTTGCAGTGTCCCCCAAATTCTACCAGCTGTTTCTGAACTTTTTGCAGCAAGACTCACCCATGCCAACTGCTGGGGTTGAGGATATTAAGTATTTGCTTACACCCAGTCAAGAAGTTTAGGAGGAAGGAATAACACTGTGCATACTGGCATTTTGGTTTGAGCTAACGGAATGCTACATTTGGACAGATAATCGCCAGTGTATCTTCTGCTTCACTGGCTGATGTTGACAAGGCAGTGGCAGCAGCAAAGGAGGCATTTGAAAATGGTGAATGGGGAAGAATGAATGCAAGAGAAAGAGGGCGACTCATGTACAGGTATGTGAAAGGCAGCTTGTGTTTGTTTTGTTTTCTTGACTCTACTTCTGTTTTCTTAAATCTTCCTCTGAAGAATTATTGCATACATTTCCTGAATATAATGGATGTTCATAATCCCACTGTTAGAGGAACCAGACTAGCCATTTTTCATCCTCTAATTTACTTCAGTGTACCGTCCTTGGGTCTTAGCTGGGTAACCTTTCTTGTGACAGACAAAAATCTTGTGTTCTCTCACTGCTACCATTTTTTAAAATTATGAATGGAAACAAAGAATTTGAGGAAAATGTCTTTTAAATATTGATGGCTTCATTTAATCTATATGCTTATTGTTTCAAGGATTGAAAATTTCCTTGCAAAGGGTATAAATGAGGCGAAGTTTTACAGGCAGAGTCTACCTAGGTTAGGTAGGCAGATACTTTTGACCTTGCTAAGCCTGCCTGCATCTGCCCTCCATATAGTAAACATACAGCCACATTGCCACTAGTTTTGAAATACACTGTAACTGATGCTGGGTTTTCCAGGATCGTATCCCAGCATACTTCTCACCTGGCTCCGTTCTAGGAGATGCAATATGGTCTGCTGCAGAGGAATTGTCCTGTGTAGAAACACCCTCAGCTGAATGCCACATTTATCTGAGTCTCTTCCAGCTCAGTATTTCTTATTTGTATTTGTTTCACTGTGTCAACTCTAGATAATGCCTGTTTCTTTTTTTGGCTGTGTTGTTACTGTTTCAGAGGATAAACAGAGGTTATGCTGAGTGAATGGTATTTTAGTGGTGGTTTCTGATCCCCTGAAGTGCAAGAAGTGGTCTTGGAAGGATGATGCTGCTAGCTACGTGTTGTGAGGGTGGTACTGGAGGCACCTAATAAAATGCAGCGTGATGCTTCTGGTGCCTTACAGCAAGCATAGTGAGAACACTCTTGCAGACTTGGGATGACTAGAAGCTGCAGAGCTTCCCCAGAAAGAGACCCTCTTTTGTGGAGGTAGATTAAGAGTTTTTGATGCTTTTTCTTTTCGAGGACGTGAAAAATGAGTGAGTAGAGATGAGTAAAGAAGCAGATTGCTACTCCTGATTGCCACACATCCACATTTAGCTAATGTGATGATGGAAAATCATCGGCACAAATGTACTAGGCAAATTCTGTTCTTATTCAGTAGGTGGAGATCTTAGACTGTGTTTGACATAGCAGATGACTTTAAAGAAGTTAGGATCTTGAATAGAATTGAAACTTCCTGCACTAAAGAACTCTTGGAGTAGGTCCTGTGTATCAGACACCTGCTTTCTGCAGGGTGTAGTCTGTAGGATCATCAACATTACTATTGGATGTCCTGGCCATGTCAGTTGTTCCTAGGAGACTGCATATGTATCTATAGGGAAGAGAAGGAAGTTTTTTTACCTTCAAAAAAAAAAAATCTTCAATAGTGTGCTCATAACTGCTGCTATGTTAAGCCTGTATTGTGCTGTTCCAGAAGGCTATTCCTGGACACCAGGATAGATGGCAGAAGAAGGATCAGGTACACAGTGAGCAGCTTCAGGGTGGTAGCACAACAATGTATTTGGATGACAAGGGTGGGTCACTGCCCTTTTATTGTTGGACACTGCTCTTTGCATAACTTCTGTGAGGGTTTAGAAACTGCAGATCTAGCTGATTCAGAGGTTTGGCATATGCACCTAGAAGATGATTCTGTCCTCATAAGACTGGGCTTAGACAGTAAGGAGTAGAGAATCCATTGCATGTCTGTACTCTGACAGTTAAGGAAAAGGACCATGGGGGAATGTAATGCTGCACCTGGGAAACATGGTTTTCTGTCTTCTGTAGTGTATCCAGCAAATCATTTGTTATCCCATTAATATAGCTGTAATTTTTACTTTGTTGCATGCCTTGGATGTAAATTCCCCTCCCCTCTTTTACCATATCCACATAGACCAAGTAGATGTAATTAGAGATAAAAAAGTATTCATAAAAGCCACATTTTACAAGACATGGCAGGCACCTTAGAGCATGAGAGCAAAGCTGAAAATTCTGCTTGTCTCATAAGGTATGTGATCAGGTCTTTAAATAAGGCCTGCAGGATGTAAAAAAGTTGAGTAATCATCACAACAGAAAAAGGGCAAGTCAGAACTCATATTAAAATTAAGTAAAATCGATCACAGATTTTTCAGGAGTGTGCACAGATTCAAAGCGTGGACAAACGGGTTTAATTTGTGTTGGGAACATAGAGTGCTTGAGAGCTCAAGTTAACTCTGCCCTAAGGAGAAACTTTTAAGGTCTTAGAACTACTGATTTGTGTTTTACACTTGAAATATCTGCAAGCTTAATTATGTTAAGCATATGGAAAATGTAACTCCCCTACAGTGCATGGATTATTCCTGGATTAAATTCTTCTCTACTTAGGCTACTGGCTCTCTAGGATAGACTGTTCATATTGCAGAGCATTCCCAGTATGAATGAAGTATCTCTCCAGTCCACCTGAATTCGAACAAGGCTCCTTTTTCTCTAGTCTCTGTTCAAACTAGAGTTTTTGAGTGCTGAACCAGAGGGAAGGTTTGTAGGGAGGTTTGTACCATTAAAACCCCTAGCTCTGCTGCTTTGTCTTAGGAATCTTTAATAGAAGATATTAGGCATGCATTAAATGGAACTTTCTCCTTTGTCCCTGCCATGCCACATCTGTTCTTTTACATACTACTGCTGATGCCCTGACCTGTAGCTGGGTTTCCAAGATCCATCTAAAACAAGTATTAAAGAGCATTTTTCCACATCTCTGCAAATGCTTTAAATGGGGAGAATTTACACAGTAGAAAAGTAGGTTCCACAATCAGTTTTGAATACTCTTTACAGAATGTAAAATGCACTTGGTTAAGCTCTTAAAATCACATGGGAGCATTGATTACAAGTCTGAGTACCAAAACACAGACAGAAGCTTAAGAAAAATGTTGATGCATCTGTTTCACTGTCATGTGAGAGATCTAAGACCTGAATGTGAAAATTCATTCATGCAAACAGACCTTTCTGCCTGAGCAGGGGACCACAGAAATTACCTACACATAAAGGTATGTGTCTGGGCAGATGCTTTTTTGAAACACTCTGATAGCTACTCTTAACTCAGCAGTATTTACCACAGTCTTAAATCTCATTGTGTTGCTTCATAAATCTAACAGATGGAGAACTTGAGGCCCAAGGACACCGTGGGCCAGATTGTCAAATGTAGCAAGGCACATAAAACTCAATTTGCATTATGGGTTAGGAGCTCTGTCTTTGGACATCTGGGTGCCTTTGAAGCATCTAACACTTAAGTATTTTAGTCCAAGTTCAGACAATACAAAACTGCATTATGAAGCTAGGTTTCCAAAATCTTAAGCTAGGACTCCGAGTACTTCTTGATACTTTTGATTACTTTACAATTCTTATGTTATTGTGTACTTCCTTTCGACTTACTGGTCTGATTTTCTATAATTGGCTCCTTGTAGTATGACAGAAAAAGAGTACAAATTTTTCAATTATTTTTTTTATTTACAAAACCATAGCTGAACAATCAGTTAAGTTTTCTGTGCTTGTGTCTTCATCCAGTGTCTAGTACAATCAATGTGAAGACATTTGCAGACTAACAGGCAGTTGTTCAAGCTCTTACTGATCTTAATTGAGCAGTGGCTCCAGTGCTCCACCTCCAGTTCAGGGGGAATGCAATTTTAATTACTGTTCTTTGACATACCAAGTATTTTAGGCTGTCAGTGGTTAGATGTCACTTTTCTTTGATGTGGATTTGTAATGTTTCTATTAAAGACTTGCAGACCTGATGGAAGAACATCAAGAAGAGTTAGCTACAATAGAGTCTATTGACTCAGGAGCTGTCTACACTTTAGCTTTGAAGACCCACGTTGGAATGTCTGTGCAAACATTCAGATACTTCGCTGGATGGTGTGACAAAATTCAGGCAAGTGAATACCTAAAGGAAATAATCAATGGCAGTGCTTCTCTAGACTTTTTTTTTTTTTTTTTCTTCTGACAGTGCCAAAAAGATGTGTGGGCAAAAGTAATCAAGGAATCAAAAAATAAAACAAAATTAGATTTTTACCTACAATGTGTCTCCCTGGCAATACAAAAGGACAGTCTGCTTCCAATTGGAGAATATGGATTTGGAATGTGACTCTAAATATCAAAGAAATCAGTTGAGGTGTCATAGTGTATATGCGTGCTTAGTCAGCTCTTGATTATTCATGGAGCAGAATGTCGTTGTGGTCATGATGTGGGTAAGTACAGATACTCATGTGCTATATTGCATTCTGACCAAGGCTGGTGAGTTTGCTTGATGACACAGCACACGGCACAGGTTCAACAGCATTTCCTCAAATATCTTTAAGATCCACAATCAAGAATATCACTCACCTTTTTTTTTCATCCATCAGACCCTCACTTTATGTTCTTCCATATTTCTGTTATCTCTGCTTTTATTTCATCCAACTAAAAATCAGGACTTGACTACAGTATCCATAGTCGCAAATCATACAATAGAATTATACTTGCCCCTTTCTCTGATGCAAAAATGCTTCTGGTTTTGAAGCCCACTCTGTGGCTTTCCAAAACATACTTATATGGCAAATATATTTGTAATAAAAATGAAGAACATTAGATGAAGATTTGTCCCTCTTCTGTCTATTAGGGTGCTACAATTCCAATTAACCAGGCCCGGCCAAACCATAATCTAACATTCACCAAGAAAGAGCCAATAGGGTAAGTATCACTATTTTCTTCTTAGTGACAGCCTTCACATAGAGAAAAGCTATTCAAAAGCTGTGATAAAAAATAATCTTTCTCTGTTTTTCCCTACTTTAAGTGTCTGTGCAATTGTTATCCCCTGGAATTACCCACTGATGATGCTTGCATGGAAGAGTGCAGCATGCTTGGCTGCAGGCAACACACTCGTACTCAAGCCAGCTCAGGTAAAAACAAAAAGGAATGTAGACATGGCTAAATCCTCCACTATTTCTTCAGGCAAAATAATTCAGGCAAACTAGCTGGTTTCACCCACAGGTTGACCGGTCATATGTTTTAAAGTGCATGTATAATAATACAGATTGCTATGATGATACAAGGTTCAGATTGTCTTCAATTCTGCTCTGATGGTACTCTAATTTTCAAGAATGAATTCTTTTCCACAAGAAGCCATCACTTTTAATTTGTCAATACTGTGAGAAGATTAATATTGTATCAAAATTAAGATGTATTGAATGTAAAAGACATCATCACATATTTAATTAACTAGGAGACCTAATCTAAATGTTTCTACTTAGGTCACACCTCTGACTTCCTTGAAGTTTGCAGAACTCTCAGCTAAAGCTGGATTTCCTAAGGGCGTTATAAATATTCTGCCTGGTTCAGGTAAGATTTCAACTTACAATTTTTCTGGGAAGAGTAGGTTATGTTAAAACTGGTGCATTTTACCTGCATTTTACCTTTTTAAAGACCTATTGTGTAAATGCATGTATCTTCATAGGTAGTAGGGTTGCATCTATGTCATATAGCGATTTCACATGTTTCCAGAACAGAATTGGAAAAATCTGTATGTCACCTGGCTCTGGCTAGTGGTAAGAGCTGTCACCCTTTACAAGATCACACAAATAGCATCAACAGTCTGAAAAAGAACATATTACAGAGAAACATATTTCACTTGATTGTAAAACTTCTTTTTTTCTCCTAATCTTGTCATCACTTTGAATGTGATAAATGTGACTGTGAGACCTAGACCAAGCTGGTAAGATGTGTATTGGTCACTGCAGGTCATGGCCTACACCATGTTACCTGGTGTCACCATTGTCCTCTTTCCTCTAAAGGAAGAAAAATGACAGTAACTATATGGGGTAGTCTCTGTTACAAACTAGATTATTCCACTTGGAGTATTAGGAAGGATGTTCTCTAGTCCAGACAGATAGAAGAATTTGGAGACACTAATGTGATCCAAGCTAATTAATGTGAGATTTTTCATAGTCATATGAATAAAGTTGTAAATATAAATAAGGATGTGATATTGTACTCAACTGGCATATTGTTAGTTCTCTCTGTGTTACAGTGCTGCTGCTGGAGTAGTAAAAATTGCCTTTGGACTGTCCAGTTAAGCTGTTTTCCTCATTCTTGTAGGTGGCTTAGTGGGACAGCACTTGTCTGAACATCCAGATGTTCGCAAAGTTGGATTCACTGGTTCAACACCAACTGGCAAACAGATCATGAAGAGGTACTCTCAGCAAAAGATTCATAAATAAACACTGCTTAATCCAGTTCTGAAGTATCTTATTAGCCATATTGTGCATGCAGCAGTAATAGAAAAGCATAGCTATATATCATTGTTTACATTTATGTAGAATTCTGCTAAATCAGTATTGGAAAATAGAGGTTTATACATTTGCACTAGGTATAATTCAAAGGAAATAATGAAATAAGCTATTTAAAAGTTGGATTTATATGATTATTTCTGTTTTTTTACAGTGCAGCCACTAATCTGAAGAAAGTTTCTCTTGAACTTGGTGGTAAATCACCATTGATCATATTCAGTGACTGTGAACTTGACAGAGCTGTAAAAATGGTAATGTTACTTCTAAGAAAAATGTATTTAAACCCTTTGTGATACATCCTTATAGTACTGCAATATTCCTCTTGACTTGCCAAAAACTGCAGTGGGAAGCCCTTGCATGAAAAGGGTGTTTCTTTATGCCAGCACAATTAAACTGTTCATGCTGCACCAAAAAGGCAGGGATCAGTACTATGAGAAATATACATTAGAAAATACAACAAAACAAAGAAATATAGCTGGAAAGTATTTTCATTAGCCAAGTTAACATATTAAAATTGATCTGTTAAAATCTGATACTCAGAAAAAAGTGCTTAAAAAATTGAAGCCTGAACGTGAGTTAAAATATACATTGAGTTCCCTGTTGCCATATAGTTCTTAATTCACCATCAATCACCACAATCCACTTTCCCAACCAGCCATAATGTGTTTAAAGTTCATAAATGTGCAAATGAGAAATTCAGTGGATTTAGGGAGCTTATTTCCTGCTCAGGTAATCTGATTCATCAAAATGACAGCAGATGCAGTTTGCTCACTAAGAAGCAAACAAAGGTCTTCCACACTGTACTTATCCAACTAATTCTGTGAATTCTCTAAGCCAGCATAAGCAGGTACTGCTACTAGGAAGAAACTATAACATGCTTTCCCCATTTTTGGTGTGTCTTTTGGCAGGACAAGAGTCTGAGTGACTGCACAGTGAAATATCTGTGGAAAACAGTAAAAGCTGAAACTTTGCAGTCAGCACACTGCTTGACCCCACCACTGTTGTCAGTTGTAGAAGTGAGAGGGTGACACAGAGGTTGGCCTGACCTGTACCTGGCATTGATGGCTTTAAATGATGGCAAACAATGCTTTTTTTGCCACACACTTAACACTAGCACATGATCCTGGTCATCATACCTACTAATACCAGGACCCTAGGCCTTGTCAGCTGCCAGAAAACTACTTTTTAGAAATTGTATTGGTCCTGCTCTTCCTTCTCCCACCTCCCCACCCCCTGGAAGAGTAATACTAGGTATTAGTTCTTGATAAATAGAAAGGAACAAACTGCATGGGGTCTGAATCCACACTCCTGAAATGCAGATTAGTGATAAGTAATTTTCACCCAGTTACATGCAACTTTAAACATAAGCAGTATCGCTCAGTGGATTAGCAGAGTTTTATAATCACTGGCCGTGGTGCAAGCCCTCTTCTCTGTGATGCTGCAGCAGGTGTTTTTGTGGAACGCTGATGTAAATGGAAAGATCAGTTCATCCTGACCCCTTTGTCTCCACGGACATATGTTTGCCAGTTATAAGATTAGTCTCTTGTTGCATTGATGATGTCCCTTTACATAAAGCATCACGCTTTGAGGGTCACAAACACAGAATGCAACCCAAGGGAACAGAATGAAAGGGAGTCTGAACAAAAGGATGCGTATAAATATTAATGTCTTTTTTCCTGTTCAGGGTATGGGAGCAGTATATTTCAACAAAGGAGAAAACTGCATTGCAGCTGGCAGACTCTTTGTGGAAGAATCCATCCATGATGAATTTGTTAGAAAAGTGGTAAGATATTCAAGGACTAAAGTGTAAGCAGATACTTTATGATGGCAAAAAGATCCAATAGTTTTATAGACATTTGCATTTCTTCTTATTTTCTGTTGTTTATTTTCTCATTATTGCTAATGATAGGCAATGCTGCTCCCCAGGAACATCTTATAGGGTTAAAAGGAAGGCACTGAAGGGAGATATTTTCATCAGTAATGCACACAAAGGTGACACTGAAACAGATGTTGTACCTTCAGGGATATTTCATATTTGATTAGGAAATAAGATTTTAAAAATTACTGCATATAGGTCAATGTGATTGAAGGCTGCTGTGAAGTTTAAAAAATGGCATATTAGAAGCATAGCTAAAATAACACAAACGTGTTAAAATCCAGTAGCTACCACATTGTACTACTGAAGAATTAATTTATTTAGATCAAGAATAGGAAATCACTGTCATAACTCATTTACCACTGGTAAAAGCTAACATTTTACATGCCTATCTTAATAGCAGAAGAGAATGAATACATGAAAACAGAATCAAAAACTTTCAGAAGTAACCAAACATTATCAAGCATAAGACAAAGCCTTATTTTAGAAAGTGAGAAGCATTCTATCTTCTAAGAATCCAGCACTTTCTTAGAGCCTAACTAAAAAAGAAGCATCCTGAATCACTGGTTACTTTAACAACTATTTGCTACATTATGTAACTTCATTTTAATTCGGTAACCCATAGGTGGAAGAAATAAAAAAGATGAAAATCGGTGACCCACTTGATAGATCTACAGATCATGGTCCACAAAATCACAAGGCACATTTGGAAAAGTTGCTGCAATATTGTGAAACTGGAGTAAAAGAAGGAGCCACTCTAGTGTATGGAGGAAGACAAGTATGTAGACCAGGTAAAATACTGTTCAGAGGTGTTTGGAATTTTTACACTTTAAACAAAAGCCATCATGATTGTCTCTGCTGCATTATGTGAAGTAGCAGTATCATGAGAACAGTACCAAGTAAGCCCAAGATACTACCTGAGGCTTTCACGTCTCCTGTTAAGAGAAGCTGTGCAACTAAACCATAACATACGAAATCAGAATCTAGACTGTATGGAAACTTTTGCTCATTTATTTCTGTTGTTTGTGAGGCATTAAGGCTTTCTTCTTGAACTGTCAAGAACCATAATTATATCTATTTAGATCACAGTAACACTAAAGCCAACTGAGGAAACTACTAGCAGAGTTTGCATAAGGTGTTATTGTCAAAAGCCTGTTTTGCTATATAGACAATATGTATGCGAAGTTTAGTGGGCAGGCATGAAAGCAACATTTTCTCATGGACATCTGTTCTTTGTCAATAATGAAGAGGAAACATTTGCATCAGTTTCAAAACATAATGATTACATCCCTAAATATAATGAAAGTGGAGATTCATAAACATACAAAATCAGCGTAACAAAACTAAATGGGAAACATTATGGAAGGGGGTGGCGTTTATGTAAAATCTCTGAGGTTGATTTTACCCACTCAGACTGGAATACACTTAACTCACTAAGGTGTAGGTGTCTAGGATCGCATGTAACACCAGGACAGTTCTTGACTGGCAACAATGAGCTAGCTTTTGGACAGGTCTTTCCACCCTTCAGAAATGAACAGTCATGAGGTGGTCCTTCGCCTCAGCATTTTCCTTACTTCAGCATCCATAAATCCTAGGCAAAGCTTCTGCCCGCAGCATGTGATTCCTTGTTTGGAATATACAGATCTTTACGGCCACGATCTGTCTTCTTGTTGGAAGAAAACAAGAAAAACAGTGGCCTCTGCAACATGCTGTAACCTTATCTTTCTGCTCTCAGAGTGCAGGGTCTTCCCCTGAGGAGTCACGTGGGCTGTGGCATGCAGATCTTCTGGTCTGGCAGGGAACAGCACATGTTGTTACTCTGATCAACACAGGCCATTCTTTTAACCTTTCTTCCACTGTTTCTATGGTGCTTACATACACGCATCTCCATTCATACTTCATTCGTATCAATCTTGATATTTTCTGTTTCAAGTCTCAACATATCAAAGTATGGAAAAGAGAGGGCCTGGACAATACAATCCATGAAGCATTTTCACCATGCTTAAATGATGCTCTGTCCTCTGTTTAGGTTTCTTCATGGAACCCACTGTTTTCACAGATGTTGAAGACCATATGTATATTGCCCAGGAAGAGTCCTTTGGTCCTGTGATGGTGATATCTAAGTTTAAAAATGGGTATGTTCTCCAGTTACTGTTAGGAACTTTCTCATTTTCAGTCTAAGTGTAGAAATGACAAGAGTACGTAGTATGATTTTGTTAAATCTTTTAAGACCAGTCTGAATCCCTAGATCCTCTTCCAGCTAAATTCTGAGAAAATACCCCTCTTGTGTTGACATAGAACAAATGGTATTAGTAGTGTATGACCGGATAGAATGCAACTATAAGTGCCAGGTCTTAAATAAGACATAGTATTCAGTGAAATGTTTTTGCTGAAGTTGATGTGGTAATTGCAACAGCTTGATCAAATTACAAAATGTGTATTTTTTTCCAGTGGAATCACTTATTTTTCTTTGTCACAAAAGACCACAAAGCGTTGTTGTGCATTGTGTAATACTGGCACATTACTGTTTCAAATGAAAATGCCTCTGTATATTTTGTAGACTGCCAGTTTTAATAGCTTTTATTCTAAATCATAAGAATTATTTTACACACAGATAAGATTAAAACCCTGTGTAGAAACTTCATATAACTATTTCCACCAGGTTTCATTTTCTGCAGTTTGATAACACAGTTAAGAACCAGCCACATAGATAACGTTTCACATCTATAAATTATGTATGGTGATAAGGGACTACACTGAGTTTTACATTTTTATGGATTTTTTAAGCTCTATGGAGATAAGATGTAAATAGAAAATAGTACTCTGGACATGGCCTGAAAAGTTGTGACTTGATAGAGGCCTGAATTTCAACCTTTAATTTTCATGTAAAGCAGGCCAAGACTGTAGCAAACTGATTCATAATCTGCTGCCAGGCTCTGCTTTACAAGTGTTTTTGTATTGCTCTAATCCCCAAGTTGTACTGTAACTGAAAAGTTGGTATGTGTACTGTAACTTTTCACATTTTTTGGTGTAGATCTTAACCACTGAAATGTAAGGTTACAAGTTTTACAAGTTAGAATCAAGGGTATGAATTTCCATAGATCTGTCAGGTTGACACATAGATTAGTCTTTAACAAGTTATCTTTGAAAAAGCTAACTGGAGAAGAAAGAGCATGGAAAAAGGTGCTTCAATGACATTGCAGGTAGAAGGTTGCCAACACTTGTTTATTTTACCTAGTTGCAACTGAATAATTTCTTTCCCCCATAGAGATGTTGATGGAGTGCTGCGACGGGCAAATACCACAGAATATGGATTGGCTTCAGGAGTTTTCACAAAAGACATAAGCAAAGCTCTCTACATCAGTGAAAAGCTAGAAGCTGGAACAGTTTTTATTAACACATATAACAAAACTGATGTGGCAGCACCATTTGGTGGATTTAAGCAGTCTGGCTTTGGAAAAGATTTAGGTAAGTTATTCTCTCCCTCCCTCATTTCTCACCTGACAGTCCAAATCAATGAGAAAACAACCTTAGCTGTGGTACAGTGTGTCTAGTAAAACAGGAGCTATGGATGCATTTCCTGCATAGAATCATAGAATGGTTTGGGTTGGAAGGGACCTTAAAGACCATCTAGTCCCAACCCCCTGCCATGGGCAGGGACACCTTCCACTAGCCCAGGTTGCCCAGAGCTCCATCCAACCTGGCCTTGAACACTGCCAGGGAGGGGGCAGCCACCACTCGTCTGAGCAACCTGCTCCAGCGTCTCACCATCCTCACAGTAAAGAATTTCTTCCTTACATTTAATCTCAATCCACCCTCTTTCAGTTTAAAACTATCAACCCTCATCCTATCCCTACACTCCCTGACAGAGTCCTTCCCCAGCTTTCCTGCAGCCCCATTAAGTACTGGAAGGCCGCTATAAGGTCTCCCCAGAGCCTTCTCTTTCTCCAGGCTTGAACAACCCCAACTCTCTCAGATTGTCCTCACATGGGAGGTACTCCAGCCCCTGATCATCTTCATGGCTTCCTCTGGACACGCTCGAGCAGGTCCATGTCCTTCTGATGTTGGGGGCCCCAGAGCTGGACACAGCACTGGGGGGGGGGGTGTCTCATGAGAGCAAGAATCCCCTCCCTCGCCCTGCTGGCCACACTGCTCTTGATGCAGCCCAGGCCACAGTTGGCTTTCTGGTTTGTGAGTGCACATTGCTGGCTCATAGTTAAGTTTTCCATGTACTAATACCCCCAAGCTCTTCTCTGCAGGGCTGCTCAACCCACCCACTCACCACCCAGCCTGCATCTGTGTTTGGGATTGCCCAGACCCATGTGCAGGACCTTGCACTTGGCCTTGCTGAACTTCATCAGGTTGGCACGGCCCCACCTCTCCAGCCTGTCCAGGTCCCTCTGGATGGCACATCCCTTTCCTCCAGCGTGTCGACTGCACCACACAGCAGCTCCTACATTGCTCCAATTACAGCCATCTAGTTCCTCTCCCATCCCTACAATATTACTGCCTCAATACCTCCAGTTCAGCCCTTCCTGCATATTTACTAAACAGCATGCAGAATATTCCTCGCCAACTCTTCTCAGAGTGAATTACAGCTTGTACAGAGCTGCATACAGGCTACAAATGCTGTCAAGCAGCAAAGGTATCGGTCAAAATCTTCTTTCCTTCCCCTCAGAAAGAATGCTAATTTAGGTTTCTCCTCTAAACTTGTAAAGGCATGGGAAGCTTTTTTTTTTCCTTAAAATGTCATAAAAATTTGCTGACAGCCACAGAGAAACGGGTATTAAAAAAATCTTTTCAAAACCAGTTTTAAAAGTGCAGTATAGTCTGTCAAAGAACAGAATGGGTTGTTAGGCGTTGGAATATGCTGCCCAGGGAGGTGGTGGAGTCCCCATCCCTGGAGGTGTTCAAGAGTAGGGTCGATTTAGAGCTTTAGGATATGCTGTAGGTGGGAACTGTGCTAGGCGAACGGTTGGACTAGATCTCCAGGGTCCTTTCCAACCTAGATGATTCTGTGATTCCATGAAAGAAACTTTACAAGCCTGGATAGATCAAGCCTTGTGGCAAAGAAAAATGAAAGAAAAAAAACTTTTCAGTGACAAAATAATTTTTGCCTTTAGAATCTCTAGCAAGCATCAGCCACTTCCTGAAACCAAAATGAGTAATAATATCAGGAAAAAAAGATTACCAATTTTTACACAGCTCCTTTACCTAGGAACTTTAACATAGACAAACCAAAGTTCATGAATTCAGCTATGAGCTCCCTCTGGCCATCTAGCGGCTGCTGCTGCTTCAGTCCCACCCAGGTGGCTGTTTGTTAAATTCCAGTTCCTTTTTCTTTCCACATCTGTTGGGTTTGGCCTCTTGTCAAACCTGTCCTGTAGAGCTCAGTGGGAGGGTAAATTCGTTTCCATTGTTCCTTAAGGACTCAAATATTGGCTAAAGCATTTTAAATTTTTTCTTTAATAATAGTTACAGTCTCTGACAACATTCTCTCATTTAGCTGTTACTCTAACTGGTGAATATTGTGCTTGTACAGGTGAAGAAGCTCTTCATGAATATCTCAGAACCAAGGCTATCACTGTGGAATATTAAAGTAACAGCTTCACTTCGAAAGTAAACTTTTGGCAGAGTTTGAATCTTAGTGACTCCATGAAGCACTTCATGTCACGCCCAGGATATGCTGTCTGCAATGCAAAAAAAAAACCACCCCACAAAACAATCCCCACCCATTCCATAGATAAGTTTCTATAAATCAGGTCCAAATCTTAGTCTGACAGATAAAAGCATTTGAAAAATTAACCCAAATTATTTAAATTATGCAACAGCAGCAGTTGTTAGCACAACCCCCCCCAAAAAAACAAGAACATAGTTTATTTTTTCAATTACAACTGAAGAAAAGAGTTCACATGCCTACGTCTTATTTGTGTGAACATACTATTTCCATGATCATTTAAAATCCTTAGTCATTAGGCTTCTCTTAAAGTTGAACTAAAATATACCGATTATGCCATTTCTGCTGTAAACCAGAGTTCACGTTTTACGGTAGCAATTAAACATTCGGCTCTGGTGATTCTTCAGCAGTACAGAAAACCTTTGTGCCGTAAGTAAATCAACGCAAGAAAGTGCACTTACTATGATCTTTGTATAGTACATACAGAGTTCAACATTGGTGTTAAACTATGCATATCAAACTAAAGTTACTGAAAATATTTTCTATCTTCTGTTGATATGGAATGTGTGACCTGCCTGCAGTTTGAAAGGTGGTTATGTTAACGGATTAAAATCAGGTTTTGTGTCTGTGCACATGGACTGTTATTACTGTTTTATACAGCATGATTATTACTTTGTATTTCATACTTTTTTTTAAGATCTATGGGAAAATATCCTGTAAAATGACTGAGCTAAGATGTTGGCTTTCAAACTTTCTTCAGTTTGAAGGAAATTTTCCATATATTGAGACCTTATCTAAGAAACTAAGCCTACTAAGACTGCTTGCTCTTCCTAAGAGAGTGCACTCCACCCAAAGCTTAATCTGATCTGTCGGCTGCCATTAAAAGTAGCAGTCCCATTCCTTAAGACTCCTATCCTTCCCCTTTGCTAAAATATTTTGTGGTTTAATCAGTTAATCCCAGAAAATCATGCCCCTATTCTATTTTTAAGAAGCGGCATTAAAAAAAAAAAAAAAAAGACCAGAATCCTTGTTACTGATATTACAGAAACAGGTATTAAAACTATGGCTTTAAGTATGGGATTTAAAATAAATTCTGTAAATAATTGCAGGTTTCAAGTCTTGATGTTAAGTTTAATACTTGAGCAAACACAATATAGAAAATTTTACTTTAATGGTATAGAAAATACAAAGTTCCTTTAAGAAACAAATTATAACATCCAGGAGCATGACAGATACTTCTGTAATGCAAACCAATCTGTGAGGTAAATACAACAGCCCAAATCATTGTATTCAACCTATCTGAGGTAAGTATGAGTAAGACATAGTTTCACTGGTTTTGATTTCACAACCGTTTCAAGCAAATACAGGCCAGCTGAAAATACACCTTTTTATTTTTTTGGCAGTGACAATTGTTAACTAAATGGGGAGGACAGAAACGTGGCAGGGAAAGCAGGAGATAAGAAGCGCCACTTTAAAGCAACTGTAACATCACGGAGGCAGGCGACCATTTAAGTACTGAGGGTATCTACTACAGCCACACATGTTCCAGATATGAGCTCAGTGCAGGCATAAAGGGAGGGAATCCTTTGCTGAACTGTCAAATCATGCCTGTCCTTACCCACGCTAACTCACCTTGAAATGACCTCGGCCACTGCTTTAGTGGTCAACAGTTATTGCCACAAATGCAATGTAGACAGATCTCTAATGTGCTTTGAGATAATCTTTAATATTGAAGACATTGTACATAACACTTCACAGGACATGGAGTATTAAAAAACAAAGCTTTTTTCCTAGTTAATTCTTTCCTGCCCTTGAAGCAAAAACTTCTTCCAGCACACTCTAAACATATGTTTTCAACAAAGCAACAGAACAAGAATTTTAACTACTCCAAGTGCCCCAAATTCTAGCTGCTTTATTAGTCTAACCTACTACAAAGCTTATTTCCACATTGTTTGATGAATAAAACCGTACTTAATTCTTCAGAAATCCAGCCTGCCTCAGCCATGAGTGGATCCTGAATCCTCTACCATGTAAACTAGAGCATTTCACATGATCCTGAGAGATGCTACACTGGGAAACACGGTAGTTTTAAGGGCCCAGTCTTCAAATTAAGAAAACACAATGTGGGTTTGTTGTTGGCTTGTTTTAGGTTTGTTTTGGTTTTTTTAAGTAAAATAAAATGCATTTACTCATTTACTTTGCTGTCCAAAATTTCTATCTTGCCCTTTTCCCCCTTTTGTTTAGGAAATTTAATGTTGTCTATAGTCACTTCACCAGTTATATGGTCATCCTCAGATTCTGAGTCATCTTCTGAAGTGAGTATCTCTTCATCTGTATCAGAATCACTCAGTTCAACTATAGCCACATTCTGGAAAAGAAGTCCTTAGTTAACACATTATACATCACTATAGCATTTATATAATATGAGTAAAACATAAAGCAAACACATGAAACAGCCTACTACCGTGAGAAAACCACTGTTATAAAGACTTCTGCATTCTAGGATTATGACAGATATTAACAAATTCCTAAATATTTAAATTGTAATTTATATTGCCTACAGCAAATAAGGCCATTTTTATATCATTATCAAAGAGAGAAATGAGTTGATAGCTGAACTCATAGTCTAAGTAAGATACTTAAACTGATAAGCAGAAGGCATCAAACCTAATTTTTAGTAAAGAATTCAAACCAACTCATTTAGTGTATAAGGGGTCATGACATATACATACACACATCTGTATATCTTTATTGATAAAGTTTACATCTTATAACCTAGCAGTGTTCATGGCATTACAACTACTGCAAAATAGCAAGTTTTTAAACTGCCATGATATTTTTTGAAGCAAAAGTGATTGTATATTCCCATATGCAAGAGCCATGATTTTTGAGGTTTATCTCTATGAAAATATCTGTCTTTAACTGATAATTCTCACCTCAAAAACTTTTTGCATGCAGTAAAGCAAAATACAGGAATTTTAATGCAAATGAATTTCTTCAGTGATTTGCAAAAAGCATTAAGCTATTAATCACTAGGTTTCCTGGCTTGTTTATTATCAAGCCAAGACACTTGTCAGACACTGTCACCTGAAAAATCTTTTAAAAATCCCATCCAAATTATTCACTCCAGCATATTAAATCAAACTATTTTAATGATCCACTTCGTTTTCCCACTATTCATTCGGAATCCTTCAGCATATACCTGCACTGGACAACCTAGTGCGTGTAGGCTGGATACAATCTACAGGAGCTCTGAACCCATCCAGTGGCCAATAAATGTTCTGAGACCTCACACAACCAAACCCCGGGCTGCCTTATTTCTGCTTTTCATCTGTGGGTCTGCAGGCCAGAAGGCACTTGTCTGGGATGTGCACATATCACATCACCTTCATATTACAATTTTCTTACACAAGCATGTGGCTGCAGCACTTCAGTTAAAAACAGAAAGAAAACATTGATGTGAATGTAAATCAATAGACAAATAGCAGCCATAAAGGATCACAACAACGTTAACTTTTCTAAAACCCAGACTTATAGCCAGTCCTAAAAATACCTACACACACAGCTGAAAGCCAGTTACTACTCTTACACTAAAGCTTTCTGTTATGCCTTACTATTATATGGCATATTGTAATGTATGCCTTACATTGTCCAGTTTCTAAAGCAAGTTACCCACAAGACATTTAGAATTTGTCACTTACTTTTGATTCAGAGTTGCTGATTCAAAAGTATGTCTTATTCTGGCCTTAAACTACTTCATCCTCAGTGATTAAATTCTGCAAGTATGAAAACCAAGTTGTAAATTATAACCAAATAAACATTTTTATTACAACTCTGTTTTCAATTTGTAGATCACTAAGATGGTGAAGACACAGCCTTATCTATCAAATTAGCTCATTCTAAGATCAGAGAATTATTTTAATCACACCTAAATTTACTTAACAAAATAAAAAAATTATAGTAAGCATTTACCATTTCTATAACTTTTTCTGTTGTACTGTCTAGATTTTCAATATCAAACTGATGAGCTGGTGCTGTTACCATTTTTCTTCTTAGCTCATCATTTGCATGGGCCATCTGTGGTAAAAAGCTCTGTACTCGGTCCAAAACTGAGAAAGAAATAATTATCACATGTATATACACAAACAGATGCACATTATACATTTATACCTCAGAAATCTGAGCATTTAAACAGATTCCATTTCAACTGTAATTTCCAGCTACCATATTTTAAGTGTGCTGGTAGGAGGATTTATTAAAGAATACAATTTCCCAAGACATAAACAGCAAAAATATCTTGAATCTATTAGCATGTGGTGCAAGAAGTCACTTCAAACAATTCTATTCGGATTCTTAAAACAAAATGCAACTATTTTACAGAAAACTTGCTTGTAAATTCCATGGTTTTAAATATACATTGAGTGCCATCTTGAGAAACTTTCACAACGGTATTATCTTCAATGGAAACATGTTGTCCTCCTTTCTTCCCCATTATAGACTGAAAGTCTCAAAGAAAATGGAAAAATCAGGTGTAGCAGAGATGCCACAGGTGTCATGCTACACTAGAGAAAATTCACCATAATTATCAAAAGGGGCTCTGCATTTAAGATGGTGGGAAAGAGACCGATGCTCTAGGCTGAAGTATAAAGCACTTATCCTCTACAGAAATATCCCTCTAAGCTCAGTAGGACTTCCCAACAATTTTAAGACAATCAGTGTCACTAGGAAAATCACATCCATTTCCCTTCCATGGAGGAAGGGAACATCCTCATGTGCCTCCACAGTTTCTTCAAATAATCTCTGCCCCACACATGCAGATGAGCCAGTCACTAGTGTTCATTCTCCATGAAGAAAGAGGTACTATTCCAAGTGAGCTCTACAGAAGTCAAACAGGTATAACCTACCTTTGAAACACTCTCATTCTTGTAGAGACTTTTATCCAAGAAAGAACTCAATATAACAAATTGTTTTTTCTGTTACTTTTGTGATTGAGCTGAGCTTTTAAAAGCACAATAATTTGACAAGAGTTCATTTTAAATTAAATGCTTTTACACACCAAATATTTTATATTCAGAAATTACTTCTGAGAAGGGATAAGAATCCCAGACCAGCAAAAAAGCAACAACTCTATACTGGAAAAGAACAGTCTGAGACTGAGGAACTCCAGTATGTTTTCATGAGAAGAAAAACTCCTGAAGATACACTACTTTGAAAGAATAACAATTTTTACACTATGTCTTCTTATGCACGGAGTTACGCTGAAGAGAAAGTTTGCCATCTATGTGTATCTTTGACTAAGAAAGAAGCAACATAGCTCAATTAAAGAAAAAAAAGTTTTCTTAATGCATTTAAATTAATTTGTTATGAATGAATGGTTAGATGATCTGGCTTAATAATTTTGCCAGCACATTTAAGTTCTGAAAGCAATCTACATAATTTGCATCCATTTGAAAGTATCTGACTAAATGAAGACCAAAGGTACAACCTGGTGAATTCACTATATGCAGAGAGCACGAGTATTTCTGCAAGGAGAACCAAGTCCCTAAAACTTACAGCTGTTGACGCCTAATTTATTATTGTAATTTAGCTCTGCAGAAGCAGCAGTCACATGATTAACCTGCGGGATGTGCAACTGCAACGAAGGACCGAGGATGAGTAGAAACAGAACACAAGAGTTTCCTCCTTTACTAATGCAAAGAAAGCAAAAGTTATGTGAAAGATATTAACTACCACATGACACTGTTCCAATAACAAAGCCCTACTTACCATTACTCCTGGGCATCCTAACCGTCTGTAAAGTTGTGGCTGCCTTGCTGTTACATTTTGAACTAATCAACAAAGTTTCTTCCAGCCCTGGAAACAAACAAGTATTTGAATGCTTACCTGTGGCAACCGAAAATGCCAAATTTTAACCGTGGTGCTCTCTCCTGGCTGTTACTTTTCCACCTTTCCACAAGGCTAAACATGAGGATTCAACTGTCTCTGCCTCCAGAAATTCCACACTGCTAGAAAATACGGTTACTTAATGTCTGTTTGGGGTGATTATCTCCATATTTCTATACATAGCACGCAACGAATGTCTAAACTTGCTAGCACAAGTGGCTGTGAAAGCAGACAGATCAGCAGGTTCAACATGGAATTAAACAAATTCAAGGCAGCAGTCAGGATCAGGTATTAAAAGGACAGAGCAGGCACTTACCCCCTAACATCCTGCCCCTACAGTCGCAGATACCGGGCGATTACAAGACTGTGGAGCACACAGTGCTTACTTAAACTGACAAGTTCTCTGTAATTATCACCTGCTGCGGCAGCTGTTGGAAGAAAGAATGCTGGGCTATAGGGACCACTGGTCTGACCCAGTGGGTCGCTTCTTACAGGCTCCCACTGTTTTTAAAGTCTTTTGTGAAAGATTTATTCAGTGACAGATATCAACGCAGAGAGAAACTTCCTGCAATAAACCTCGCGATGTTTTGCTGTGGGAACAGCTCACGCGTGCTAGTTACACTGATTTACGTCCCTTCCTTCAATGAAAGCCGCACCCGGTGCTACTAATGACCTACGTAAGTACTTTCAAGAGTAGCACCGTAAAATCCAGACGATGTAGGGAAACTTCATTAATTAGACAACTGCGTTATCATGACCACCAACACAGCCGTCAGCCCATCCACTAAAAAGGAGCTTTATTTCTTTTTAACATATTTTTATCCTCACAGGAATGTTGTTACAACTCTCGATACTAATGCAGCGTTTGCTTTCGGTTTTTCCTTCCTGTACTTACTCGGCACTGCCCAGGAAACCGCACCTCCCCAGAACACGTGAGGCGCAACGAGTAACAAGCGGAGTGCCGGCAGCCAGGTGGGCTGCAGAGCCCCCTCTCTCGGGCAGCCCGCCGGCGGGCGAGGCCCGGGACTCAGCACTAGCCAGGCCAATTCCCCCGCGCCCCGGCTCGCCCCAACTCAACCTCCCGGGCGGGGATGGGGGAGGAGGACGGGC